AATCAATTCTAGTTTTCCATGAAAGTTTTTGTGCTAATAAATTTTCTAGTCTTTAGGATCCTATGTGATTCTTCGTTATTTTCATACATTAAAACATACATATATGAACACTTGTAGCTCATGGTTTTAATCAATGCATATTTGGTTATAGAACATAAACTCTCCATTTTCAATAGGATGCATTGTACCAAGCAATTTCAAATAACTGTTGCATTACTTCAATTGTTGAGAATAGCTGAAATAACATCTCCAGAGTGTTAGGATTTATATCATATATATCATATACATAACAGCTGGCAAGTTATATAAAATCATTTTCTCTTGTTAACTTCAGAAAGACAACTTATAATGTCCATGATGCAGTTTTATTATCATTTTACTATCAGAAATTTAAGACAATCTTCCTAGGAAACCATCAGTAACTCTCCAAGTAATTGATGTTCCTAAAATCAATCATTTATCAGGTAATATTGCAAGATTAAAAAGTAGCACAGTTGATCACTGCTGCTATTCTGTCATAATTTTAAAATATCTGCTTGCAACAGAACACAATGATCGTATCTCATGGTGAAGGCATGTGACTCTAGCTTCTAAAATGAAACACCAAGAAAAACTGTTGAGATGAGCATGGCACACTGTAGATATTTGTGATAAAGATGAAAGGGATATTATTTCAAGCAAAACCCACTCATAATTATCTAACTCATTTACTGATTTAAAATATGTATTTGTTTCAGGATCCCTAAGGCTATTCGTGAAGAAGCAAGGACTGTTGTGGTATGCTACATGAAATAAATGGAAGAGACTTCTGGTTCTCCCCAGCTTGTTACTAAAATGGAAGACATCCATCTTCTTATCTTTAACTGAGCACTGTTTATTTTAGTGCTTTACTAAACCTTGTAATCTAGTCCACAATTTAATAACTACTATTTAATCATTATAGTCATTCTCTTATTAGCCAAGTACTTTGCTTCTCCTGCCTCATGGCACCCCTGGAGTTCAAAACAAGGAACCCTCTTTGTTGATTAATTATTTAAGGCTAGCAACAATAACCATGCAGGAAATAAAGGTACTTTGAGAGGATTACACAAGGGCTAGTTCTCAACAGCACCAAGCTGAGGAAAGCAAATTACAGGCCCCAAGTACTTCATTGCATGTAACTAAATTGGCTGGTTGAAATGCTAATCGCCTTTCAGGACCGCTGCAGGCAGACAGTGAGGCCTGGGCTTCATGGGAATTTTTTTTTTTCCCCTGTTCTAAATCATTGTCTGGCAAAGAATGATTCAAAAGCTTTCCCTAACTTCTAAACATGTGAGAAATCTCTAAGTTCTGACCACTGCTTCAGATCACTTTGGTCTGCCAAATCTGTAACAGATGGCTGAATTAAGGCCATATTAAATCCCCACTAAAGCCTGGAGCAGCCCAGAGTAACTTTGCACTGGTACCAAGGAGAAAGAAGAGCGTTTCATGGGTCAAATGAGACATCAGTCATAAATTAGCAAATTAAAATGAATGTGATTAGCATTGATGGAGCATAACTTTTTCAAACCTAACATATTTTAGCTTAGAAATATTTTGTGGTAGCAATTAAAAAAAACTATTTCCAACAATACATTAGGAACTTGATGTTAAGCATACTGCAGAACATCAACCTGTTCTGTATTACTGTGTTAATACAACTGTTCTACTTAATATATATTGGAAATTATTTTTGAAGAAATATTTTCATGCATAAACTGACAAATGCTCTGAAACTCATTCCATCAAGAGTTAGATGAAATACCAATATTCCAAAATGTGCTTCTCCTCCTCTTCCTTGTTTAGAAACAGCTTTGGCATTTTTAGCATTATTCCAATCATTTTTTTAAAAAAAAAGAGCCCTGAGTTTTTTAACCCTTCATATTCTGCAACCTCTTTTCAGTGAGTACAATTCAAGTTATAAGAATTTCCAAATTATTCCGAATTTCTTGTTTCAAAGGTTCCAGGAATTAGGCTACTTATATGTAATTTTCTTAGTTGATTATATTATATGTAAACCTTTGGATAATTATAGTAAAAATGGCTTATTACAGTTATTCTGATCTGACAGACCTTCATTATAGAAGTGACAGTTGTCATTCAACAAAGACATTTATTTCAACCAATCTCAGAGCCTACTGCCACAGCACAGTTGGGCATACATAAATACATACTGTAAATGTAAAATAATTTTCTAGCAGTCAAGTTAAATTTAAGAATGAAATGCATTCATTACTATATTGAGCCAATGTACTCAGCGAGAGAGGACATTTTCTCTTTAGCATAAGCCAGAATTAAATATATATAAAAATCCTAAATCAATTTTATGACATTTAATATACATGCACATAGAACAATTTCCATGATTGTATTCACTTTCTATTTATACAGAACATAGTTCTACATAAATAGACAATCCCAAACGTATAAATCTGAAGATAAGTTTAACAAACTGCTTCTTTGTAGAAGGACATTATTGCTTCTTCCTAAAAATACATATGCATAGACATATTTTCTCTTGATTTAAAGTGAGATTTGTATAATGGATGTAATACTGATGAGAAATTTCAAATATATCATCCAAATTCATATTAAATTTTTCAAAACACATCAAAATCCTATCTATGTCAACATCTTAAGAAATAAAGAATTTCATTCATATCATTTACATGTACTTTCCCAAACCCAAAAATATTTAACTATTCATCAAGATAGTCACTTTTATGTAACAGGGATCTATCTTCATATAATTAACAAACATCTGATTTGTGCTTTGAAAAAAGTAACATATTAACATTTCTCCCTAGAAGAGAGAACTTGATGACAGTCTACAAGTTAACTCAATGATATAGGCTCCCAATATTTCCAAATCTTAAACAATTAGATGGAGGGAAATATGTTCTATTCATAAACTCAGGCATAATGCAGTTCACATTAAACATTTGCAACAAGGCTATATGTCTATTGAAAAGTTAGACACATTAAGTCCAATTGGACTTACATCCAGGGATGGAACAGTTGTCCTGGATTTCAGTCCCTGTGTTATTTTTTAATCTGCAAGTTAAAAATGTATCTGTGTACTTTCGTTATTAAACATGTTGTCTGCATTTTTTAATCAAAAAAATATACACAAAGACTTAACCAAGTCTAGTATTTTACCAGGCTTTTTCCAATCCCAATGGAAATTTCTGATATTTCAAATTTCTTTTAGCTGTATTTCCAATTGCTTATTAAGACTACTCCTCCACATAAGAATTTTTGCTTTTATTATAGTATTTTTGATATTTTCTTTTTTCCATTTTGTTTCAATAAAGACAAATTAATACTCTGCTTTGTCTCAGTATTGTTTAAGATATTTATCAGATTGTGGAAATACTCTAATAATACCTTGGTTCGAACTTACAGTCAAGTAAAATAATATACTTTTTTCCTCATTTCAAGGTATTAAATTATGAAATAACGATTATTTCAATTGTAATAAATATTGGATAACAAATTTAGAACTTGTCTCATTCATGGCCTGGTAATAACCACTTGAATAACATTTATAAGCAATTTTAGTAATGCATAATAATCATATGTATGCTTACTCAGAACTTAATACATAATATTTACTTGTGGGAAAGCACATATGGAACTGTAGCACAATGTGACCAAAACAAAATTAAGCACTGTTAAGGATATGATTCTGTAAACATACACTAGATAGTGTCATTGAACTAAGTTGAATTCATTTCAGAGTAAACCCACAAAAGATTGGGCTGCAGACCCCAGGACTTTCATTTAGGACAAGAGCTAAATTCAAATTTAGTTTTCTACTGGAATCAGCAAAATCCAACAATACTTAACAACCCTACACACGTCTATTTTGTTCATTCAAAGAGGCAAGCTCAACTCAATGGGACATACCACCGAGTAGGATTAAAGATCTTGTAAGTTATTTACTTCTTAGCCTTTCAACATGTAATACTGCATCTGAGATAAAGTGTTGAGGCCTTATGTGGAATAGGGAAACATTTGAATGAATACAATGGGTAGGTTCTGCTTTATACTTTATTGTTCCACTATCCGTATACAGAACTTGTTTTCCTCCTTTTCCTCTTTCTTTGGGGTGGGATGGAATGGATATGTCACAAGAAACATGTAGCAAATTGCAAGAGGAATTCAGTTGAAGTACCACTTATCAACATTACAGGATGATGCAATGACAGATAATTAGCAATATGATCACTACAACCCAATTTTTGATAAGCAGCCACAATGCAGATGATGTGCAGCTACTGAATGGATATTCTGGTTTGCTAAGAATTAGATAATACAGCAAAATTGGAAGACACCCTCCTCACCCCATAAAAATCCCATGCAAGGAGGTTCTGTCCTAAGCACCTCACCTGGGAGCACTGTTAAGAACAAGACCGTTCATGATCTCATTGCTCCCTAGAAAAATTATGGATAGATTTTACTATCGATGCAAAAGCCGGCATCATCTTTCCTTGTTTTAGATGCTATGCTAAGAGGTTCCGTTTAAATGTCAGAGGTAGGATGGAAAAACCATTGGGGGCAGCCGGCAGCTCTTCTGGTCTTGCTATTCTTGTTGAACGAGCTGCCCCTGAAAACAGCGGCAAGAGGTCGGCTCCGGTGGCTTGGTGCCACGCGCGCACACGCCACTCCGCAGCAGCAGGCTTCGCTAGACGCCCGGGCGCAGTTCTCCCCAATCTCTGGAAGGGGCGGCAAGGCAGTTCCTGTTCCGAGGCGCTTCTAGCTGAGCTAGGAGGGAGCCTTCCTTGTTTCTTCCCCCACCTGAGCTGAAAGCTGCGCCGGCTTCGCTCGCGAGGCAAGCAGCCTGCTCGCCCGACAGCAACAGGTGCTGCTCCTGGGACAGAAAGCCGCCCTCTCAAGGCAGTCGAGGGACAAAAGAAACTTCGCAACTCCCCAGCAGCAGAGCCGGGACTGCCTTCTACGGGCGCTCGCGAAGCACTTACCTAGACTCCGAGAGGTGGACATCAGCGTCCGTGGACTCGCCCGCCAGCCAGCCAGCCAGCCAGCCAGCCAGCCAGCCAGCCAGCCAGCCAGCCAGCCAGCCAGCCAGCCAGCCAGCCAGCCAGCCAGCCAGCCAGCCAGCCAGCCAGCCAGCCAGCCAGCCAGCCAGCCAGCCGTCCGCCCGCTCCCTGTCACTCACGCCTGCATTATGCGTCCCCGCAGGGCGAGCCCTCATTGGGCGCCCGGCCGCGCTGCAGCCTGGGCTCTCCTCTTCCCGCTCCTCGCCGGCGTGGTGGGAGAGAGGGGAGCTGGGCCACCCAATCGGCCGCCCTCTTCAAAGAGGCTGGTTTTCCAATGAATTTAATTCCAAAGCAAAGTTGGAGGCCTCCCTGGACAGGACAGGCCTTCTCACTTTTCCACTTATACTCCTTTTGCTAGTGTTGGGGAGCCTCGGAGCATTTAAAAATTAAAATTAAAGCAGTGGTCTTGGGAATACACATCAACATGTTAAAGAAAGTAGAGTCTGGGCGTAAGCAAAGGATCTTTATGGTTTTGCACCTGATGACTCCCCCTTTTCTCTCCCTCCCTCCCTCTCCCTCCAAGTCTATAAGAGAAAGTCTTTCAAGAGCTTGCAGCCCTCTAACATATACCCCCTTGGTTATCTTTTCTCAAACACAAACCAACCTAGTTCCATCAAATTTGTTGAAGGGATTAGTTTCCAGTCCACTGATCAACCTTGCCGCTTTTCTCCAAAGGCATTCTAGTTTATCCAGATTCTTAAAATGTGTCCAGAATTCAAATGTCATGCAGAATACAACTGGGCAACAGTCATCGGATATGACTGGATGATGCATCTATCACAAATATTTAATCTTTGTACTGTAATTTTTATTTTGGTCCTGCTCTATGGCTTGGCTCAAGAACAGCCATCAGATCAAAGAAATATGAACACAACTCAGCCAACCATCTTTGCTTCATTTATATAAGACTTTCCTTAATGTATTTTTACAATGTGTGATAGGAAAAACTGCACAGACTTCTCCAGATTTTGCCTTTCAACTTTCCAGAGGATCTTGACTAAGGAATAGGCCTCAGTATTCATGACAGGCCATCATTCCAAGCATATTTAAGGCTGAATCTAATCCAGTGAGAAGGTAGTAGAATTAACAAGGCTCTTTTTTGCTCATACTGGCTCTCCTCCTCTTATCCTACAATATTCAGTGGATAACAATAATAAGTGCAATACTGTAGTAATAATACAGTATACCTTATCCTGGTTGTTGCTGTTGTCGACAGCTTTTCTCAGGTCTATGTTATACAGTAATAACTTGATCTTGGACAACTTTCTTTGGACAAGCTACGTCAGTCTCATCTCACATCCCCCCTCCTCTTTTCCTTTTCCTGTCTCTCCCAGGTTCCACTTGCACTTCACCATGCCAAAATCATGTCCTGAAAGCACCAATATTCCCAATCTCACAAAGTTGCCTTCCTCTCATCCTCAGTCCAGGAGTGAAATAGCGTTGAGCCATAATCAAGTGTACTACTATTAAAATATCTTAAGCCAGCCCTGTCCCATGATAGTTTCAAGTATGAGACATCTGTAACATATCATTACCATTATTGTTGGAGGCAAGATCAACTGACCTCCTACGGATGGTGTTTGGGGAGTGTTACTACAGGCATGCCCAACTCCTCTGATCTCTAGCCAGCCTCCATTACAGATGTTTCCTCCAGCATTTATGCATCCATTAGCCCTTCCTTTCCTGACATCTTGTCATACCTACCACTTCTCCTATTCCTATTTTTTGACAACAGCTTCTTTCTAGGCTTCCAATAAGGAAAGGAAAGAAGACCTGTGTGTGGAAGAAGAATGGGCATATACACACAATTGTACTTTAACAATTTCCTGAAATGACTAGACCACCACTACTTTATTTGGAAAGAATAGTACAGTATATAGTGAAATTTCATTTTAATGGCATTCTGAAATGTATCCTTACTTTAAGATGCAGCAGCCCCACTTTTCCTAATTGCAATGTCTAGAAAATAATGAGGATGTTGGACTGGACTTTTGTTGCTAATTTGCCAGTTCTCCCGTATTCATCAATTTCAGTCACTCCAGCTGTAGCACCCTCCCTGCCCTTGAGGTAAGAGGTTGCTCAGCACCTTGTCAATTTCAATTTCAATTCTCCACACTGCAGAATCTAAATAGTTGCACAGTGGTGGCAATGTCTGGGATAAATCCAGGTAGTTGGCAGGACCACCTGTTTCCTATTAATTCTGCTTGTCCCACCCAATCTGACAGGCTTGGTCCACTCTGGGACCCTTCTATCGAGCAAAGCCATCTGATGGACCCAGGAAGCATGCCTTCCCTGTCATGGTACCTGCCTTATGGAAGAACATATCCCCCACACCCTTAATCGAGACAGACCCAACCCGGTTGGCTTTTCAAATGGCAGTAAAGACTTGGCTGCTCCTGCAAGAACTAGGCCAGGGCAGAGATGTTTTAAGAGAAAGTCCTGCCTAGACTATTTTGAATTGGGCAGCCATATAAATCCAATCAATCAAGTCAATCAATCAATACCTCCCTTTTCCCTGGGCTACTTCTGCCCTAGGGTAGGAGGAATCGCAGAACAACCAGCCAAGGCAGAATCTATGAATTCAGACCCATACTGTGGCAGTGCTCCAATAGGTGGATGCTTTCCCCCGGGCTAGTGAAGTGCTAAAATGGGATGGTAGTAAATCTAGGGGGAAAAAATCCAATCACCTTGCCTATAAGAAGTAGCACACTCACAAATTAGGACAACACCATCTAGCAGTGACTCAGAACAGGTACAAAATTGGAAGGATTTAGGGGTTGGAAACAGGCACTGAAAATGTTATGCTACAATTGTTTCACATCAACTCAGGGATGGAGAACACCACTATAAATCAGCAGTGGGAAAAGGTACTCTCTTTTTCCCTCAAATACACACAAAGTCACTTTAAAGTTATTCCTGTAGATGTGATGTCCATGACACTTTAAAGTTGTAAAATTTAAGGATGAAAATTAAAATGCTTGATTTGGCTAAAAAAAATTAGACCACCTCCCACTGAGAGTTGTCCCCACCCCCTTAAATTGCATGTTCAGAAAACACAGTAAGACTAAGTTCAAATTGGGTAGTTGGACTACTGCTTTCACGTCTATGTAAAATGCCCCAGAGGAAAACAAAACACCACTGAAAGCAGCAGCCTCCAGTTTGTTTGTTTGTTTTCAAGCCTTTCCCATTTTCCTTTTATTGGCATGGCATGAATGAAGACAGAGGAGAAGAGGGACTTGAAATAATAATGTGGGTGGAGGGAAGAAACTTGGAGAAGAAAGAGTGACTAGCTGCTTGATCCTAAGCAGTTTTGTGCTAGCAATAAAAGTCCACCCGGAAGCATGCAACAAGTCCCTTCTAGTACTTCACAAGGTCTGGCAGACCAACGAAGTGATTAAAGAATCTATGAAGCATAAAGGGGATGACCCACAAGAGGGGTGCCCCAGAATTGTATCCTTAGGAGTGTCCTTCTGGATTTATTCACTCCAATGCAGAATGATGTAAATGTGTTAACATGTAGCACAAAGCCACAGTGTGATTGGCCTGATTTTGGCTTAATGTGTTGTCTATACCCAGTCACTTGGATTTGTAAACCATGATTAATGGTTTTGCATTGTGATACATGAATCTAATTGTGCTAATTTAACACACCATGGTTTAGCACATGTGGTCTTATACATGATCAGATCTCCAACAGTGTCTGAATCTTAACATCTGTTTTAATTTCCAAGAGTATATTAAATTATGATTTTTGAGCTGTATTCAGAGAATATCAACTCCGTTTGTAAGTAAATGTTTAGCCAGAATTTTTTAGTATGTACCAACTTTTGAGATTATGTTAAATAGTATTATAAATTGAATTCAAAAATCTCTTTCTTTAAGTTTGTCAATTTATTTCTTGCCAAAAATGGGTATCTTCTTGAAATAATTTCTAATTTGAAAGTACAACAAATATTTGGCTGATCATAATTTTGCAAACATTATCATTAAGAACTATTTTTATTTTTTTCCCCACATTTATAAATTGTGGTATAATAGATTTTTAGCTTTCTTGAACACTACAGTATTCATATCCTTTTTTTTTTCCCTGTTAAATTGTGTCCTTTGTATCAATTTTAAGTTATACCCAAACCATATTAAGGCAGCATATATCCACTTAACAAGGTACATGCCCCATAAATTGTAATGAGACTTACATCTGAATGGAATTGTATAGCTATAGGATTGTAACTTTTATGGATTTTTCCCCCTCTGACCATATAATGGATCAGACCAAAAAGCCATCTAGTTTACATTCTGTGCAATGTTCAGTCACATATTCTTGGAAGCTCCCAGGACATTCCCTTATTTGCTCCCCAAAACTGATATTCAGAAGTTAGACCATCCCATACGTTTTCTTCACATATTTAGCACCACTAGACAATCCACTTTATTCACTGAAGTGAATAAACTGCAGCCCATGGATTTTTTGATTAGACTTGATTAGACATAAAAGTGAATAAACTGCAGCCCATGGATTTTTTTTGAGACCAGTGAAGACTTTAAAGCATGGAATGAAACTCAAACCAATGTTGATCTTATTCCCTCATTTTCCTAACTGATTCATATTGTCATTGTAAATACCATTAATAATGTAAAAATATTAACTGAGGCTAAACTCTTCAATCACTGGAAATATTTTCAGTGAAAAAGCACATTATATTATTTTATTTGTCAAATCTGTCAAATCTGAAGTAGTAATTAATAGCACTTAGGTTTAATGATACATAGGCCTAAACAATAGTGAAGCAAATTATTAAGATTTCATTTGGGCAAGTGCTGCTTACAGTTCAGTGTTTTTTCTCGAATATACTAGATAAAATCAGCCTCTTTGATATCTGTGTCAGATTGTCCAGATCTTGATGTTTTATGATGCTTCTTGTTTATGTGCCCCCTGTGTGGCAC